GATTGCACCGAGACCGCGAGCCAAACCGACGATCGTGCCGTGACCGTGGAGTCAGACCGACGATCATGCCGTGATCGCGAGTCATACCGACGATCACCCTGTGACCGTGGAGTCAAAACGACGATACCGAGTCATACCGACGACCATGCCGTGACCAAGAGTCATAACGACGATAAGCGTGCCAACAACAGAAAATTTAATATCGCTTTTACGTTGAAACCTTTACTGTTTTGCAAAACACAAAGGGGCGGAAGGCCAAACGGGCCTAGGGGCGGCAACGTGGGTAAGTCCACCACTGTCCTCAATTGAATCTGTTTTATCAACATTGCTTTGTCTTATGTACTCATGTTATTTGTTTTGCTATTTATTCTTGACTAGCTGTACCCGCGGGCTTTGCCCCGTTTAACTTCATATGTGAGCTCGTTCGCATGGCTCAATCACGTCCTGGTTGAAGTTCGTTCGCTACGCTCACTCACCTTTAGGTTGGAGCTCGTTCGCTGCGCTCACACGTCTTGTTGCAGTTCGTTCGCTACGCTCACTCACCTTTACGGTTGGAGCTCGTTCGCTGCGCTCAATTGCTTTCAGGTTAGCTCGTTCGCTACGCTCACTCACCTTTTGGTTTCAAATTAGCTGTTGTCAAATATTAAAAAAATAATAGTGCTGCACTCTGTTGGTAATCCTTGTAACTTTAATGCTATTGAACATAATAGAACACAACCAACTTGTTTAATTGAAACAGCTGTTATGATTCATTAATTCCATTTAAATATGAGTACTCATTAGGTTACCATGGGAAACTCCAGAGCCACTGGGGCGGAGCCCGAGAGTCCGATCAGAATAAAAACCACTTAGTTTTCCTATTTAATGCCTAAAGAATCAGTGTACCAAATTTCAGCCTCTTAGGTAAGTGGGAAGTGGGAGAATTAGTGATGAGTGAGTGAGTGAGTCAGTCAGTCAGTCAGTCAGTCAGTCAGTCAGTGAGGGCTTTGCCTTTTATATATATAGATTATGTTGTTATTTTCTTCTTGTTGCTCAGAATCTATTGTATTCTTCTAATCTTGCTGTCTCCAGTTTTGTTTTCATTACCTCAAAAACACTGATTTATTTTCTAGGTTATGTTTACTTGCTCCCATGACAGCCCGCGGTATTATGACAGTTCACTACCACCACCACCTGGATTTTAAAAACCAGCGTTAGTTTTGACGCATTTTTGTTGGTGACGCAATTGTGGTTTAAATCATCAATTAGTTTTAACTGAAGATGAACTAAACCATCGTTAGTGTGACTTTGGTGAAATCGGGCCTAAGAAAAAAATATAATATTACAAGAGTAATAATACCTACAAAAACAATGAATCATATGCTAACATGTTATAGTTTGCATCTGACATTTGTGTTTATTTGCAGACTTCAAAAAAAAAACATTATTTCAATAGAACACACAACATTTGCCCACTGGGCTACCAGGCAGCTACGCTATCCTCCTTATTCTACAATATTACTAATTCATTATTTAACAACTGCAGCTCTTACTTATTCAATCATTTCTTGGGGTGTGTTTTTTTCATTAATTTGTTTTTCTAATGAGTCATTGAGGGCTTGAAGTTTAGGCATACTTTGAAACAAAGTTTTGTTTTCCTCAAGAATTAGGTTATACCCATAAATCTATTATATGGCTTTAGATCTAAGCTTTCCTCTGTCTCTTTTATTTGTTTCACCATAATAATCTTTTCAGATCTTGGTAGTGAAAAGAACGATCTCAATCTTGTTCTCAAGTTTTTTTTTTTCCATTACTCATCTGACTTCAGAATAGCTGACTCTTGTAGCGACGAGGTAAGTGTAGTAATGTTTAAGTGTAGTAAGTGTAGTAAGCAAATGTTTAACAAGCAATTGCAGTTTAGAGACAAGATTATCTATGAAAATGAAATGAAATGAAATGTGTTTATTGTCTTGGTCTTGTGAATTTATACAAATTATTGACAATGTCATAACACTGCTAAAATTAGCATAGTCACTTAATGAATACAATATAGCTAACTACACACAAGGAGACATGTTACAATACATATTTTAAATATTACAACCAAATAATCTTATTGTTAAGAAAAATTCGAGGCATTTGGAATAATGTAAGTTATTAAACCCCATAACCAACTAAATCCAACCGTAATTTGGTAAATTTGCTAACTCTACTTAAAAATTAGTGAAAGGCATCTAAAAAAAATCTTTTAGAGAATAAAAAGGGTTGTTCAAAAGCCATTTGTAGAATATAGATTTAAAAGTATTTTCAGGATATTTTGGTATTAACACATTTCCCGCTTAAGACGTCTTAAGACATCCTCAAGCCTATTAAGAAATAGCGGAGGACGTCCTAAGACGTCCTTGTGTAAGGTTAAGCAAATGGTGTTACAGTTGTCCCTGTTTTCAAACTAGGGAATTGAAACTCTGTCAGCCCTTGGGGGACATACTGTAGTATTACGTCATTACCGCCGCTTGCAGATCCGCCGCTCCAGTTGGTGGCGATCGCGGCGGAACTTTTGAATGAATTGGCAGAACAAAAGCAGACAGTATGAGTCTAGTGTTTGACGGAGAACGTTACTACTTGCTGAGCGTGGTCTGTAAATACAATAGAAATCTGTTTTTGCCGCCACTCCTTAGTTCGGGCGCGCTCCGATTTTTTGCGGATTTCTAAGTTCGAACTTGCCTTTATGTTAGTTTGCGCTTGTGTTTATTCATGTTTGGACTTTTTTATGTATTACGTTCTAAGCAGTGCTGCTATCTGTGGGTGTTTAGCGAACTACGTCGACTCTCGTTGTAAAGCAGGACATCCCCGCACGTTCTTTGCTATTTGTCAGACCGAAATTGGAAAGCCAATCACACGCGGGAATCGGGTTTGTTCGACGCTGAGGGCTGCGCCGCACTGGGGATACGCCCGCCCTTTGACGTGCCGCAGCGAATGTGTTAAATGTATTAGCTTGTTGTATATATTTACAACAGAGAGAGCTATGTGCGGTTACCTCAGTTATATGCTCTCTAGCTATATGCGATATGACTATGTTTAGTTCCGGGATGTTAGATTTAATTGAGTTTATTTCCAGACATATGTAGGCTGTATACACTGCACAATGCCTCGTGGGTCACCACATTTAAACACAATTCCCTCCAGTTTTTATCATTCAATACAATTTTTTTAATTTTCTTTTATTAATCTTTAATTTTAATTAATCTTAAACAACGAATAAGGCAACAACTGATAAGGCAAGAGCTAATTGAAATTGTACTGTACACAATTGACCTAGTGGTCACTGGTCAGTGGTAACCACAGAGTATCTGAGGCATACAGTATATCCAGGACTCAAATGATTAGTAATAATTAAGTTGGTAAATAAACCAATTGATAAGAGATGATCTGTTAGCTTTATTCCTGATTATACTAGCTTTTTTAGCAGGAACAATTTATCAAAAGCCCAAGAATCAGGGACAGCTGGGTCAATTTTGAACCATCAAAAGGTTACAAACTGTTTTCAGGACCAAACCAGCAACCTTTTGACTACCAGGTAAGCACTATAAATACAGGTGTCTACACGGGCGTCGCCGCCATAGGGGACATGGGGGACGCGTCCCCCCCAATATTTGAAAGGTCAGTTTTGTCCCCAATCCTAAATTTTAAAAGGAATTTCAAAAATCATACAGAATGCGTGTTCACCCGATCGATCGCTGCTAGCAAGCAAGGTGCTTCGCTCTGTGATTCGGAAGCGTACGACATGGTGCGCGGTGGTGGAGGGGTGTTCCGATCCACGATCCTCGAGTTGCACTGGATGCCTAGACGCTTGTCTTCTTGAATGTCTTCTTCTCGCGTTTCAGTCCGTTCCGTCACCGTCAGTCGGCAGTGGTTGATACTACATTAGTACATTTAGATGTAGGCCTACGTTAACCTTTTTCTCCTCGTGTGCTGTATCTGTCGCCGTCGGTAGTATCGGTTATAGTTCTTTTAGGTTAGTTGATACTTTTTGGAAGTTGATACTTGAACCTTGAACTGTTTATTGTCAGATGCAGCGAGCAGAAGGCCAAAAACAAATTGTTTGTATAAAAAACCTGCTTGTAAAAATGTAAGATTGTGGGTTTAAATATTAGTGTTCAAACGCATTGAATTCGATACTATACATATTGTGACAGATCTAAGAAATGGAGAAAAATGTACGGTTAAAAAACATATCTACTTGCTTGCATGGTATATAACAGGTGAAATGGAAGGTTTTAGGACAATTGGGCACAGTTCTAGCCGTTAGAAATGGCTTTATAAAGTCACCATACGGCTTTTGGGAGATATGGCTTCGTAGTCTACAGTAGGCCTATGTTTTGAAATTCATGAATGCAAGTTCGTCATAGTTTGATTTTTTAAATGTCTACTTGCTCATGACAAAGACAAATAACAGGTGAAATGGGAGGTTTTTGGACAGTTGGACACAGATATAGACATTAATAATGGCTTTAGAAAGTCAGTAAACAGCTTTTGTGAGGATACGGCCGTAGCCTACAATATTTTTTGAGATTTATGAATGAATGCGATCGTCATAGTTAGTTTTAAAAATGTCTACTTATTCATGACAAATAAAGGGGGAAATGAGAGGTTTTGCACACAGTTCTAGACGTTAAAACTGGCTGTATAAGTCACCAAACGGCTTTTAGGAGGATATGGCTGTAGTCTACAGCGTGTTTTTAAATTCATTAATGCAATCCTCATAATTTTTAAATTGTCTATTTGCTCATGAGAAACAACAGGTGAAATGGGAGTTTATGGACAATTGGGCACGGTTTTTGGTGTTAAAAATGGCTTTAGAAAGTCACCAAACTGCTTTGAAAATTACAAATTTTTCCGGGGGAGGGCCCCCCGGTGGACCCCCCCCTTCCTACATTTGTCCCCCTCAATCTTTTGATGCTGACGACGCCCATGGGTGTCTAACGTAAAACAAGTTACCCTTACAAAACTATACTTCATACCTGTTAATGTCCCATGTGTAGATACTGCCATCAAAACCTGAAGTCACCAGTAGTCCGTCACTCTGTGAGAACTCTATATTCTTCACCCAGTTAGAATGCCCTTGAAGAGTCCGAATGCGAGACCTCAAGTTACGAGCATCCCATAAAGCAACAGTACTGTCATCACTGCATGTTGCAAACACTCGAGAATCTAAAAACCTACGGCATCATAGAAATAAGAGGGTAAACAATACAAATGATAAATAAAATATTTCTAGATTAAGATTGTACATGAAAAAATCATATACAGTAGAGAGTCGAAAATCCGAACGTCAAAAATCTGAACCGCTCCTAAGAGTTTAAAAATATTGAATTAGCACAGAGACAAAAGGTGTTTTACAATTTCGTGTGCCAAACAGTCGGCGCCTGGCAGGGAAATGAGTGAACGCGCCGAGCCAGTCTGTATTTTGTTTGTTTCCAATGTATAAGCTCTACATTTTTTTTTTCAAGAAACAAATTACATTTATATAACGAAAATACCTTAGTACAAAAATCATTATTTTTATTTTATGTACTGTATCCTAGAACTATACCGGGTGTTTCTAAATGAATAGCTGGGTTTTAACGCTTTATAACTTTTATACTATTAAACTTACCACCACAAAATACGCATCAAATGAAAAACCAACTCAAAGAGTTTATGCCTTCCAAAGAAACATTATTTAACAAAATCGATCCAACAGAACTGTAGATTTAATTGTACAAAGTTAAAAAGTAATCTCCAACTTTTTTTCACCACTAGAAATTCGGAGGTTGCTTGACGTTTTTGCAAATAACTTTTAAATGGTGAGGAAATCGACCAATGTGGAAGGTAATATTCCGAAAGAGAATAAAATTTCCTACAATCTACTATTATGCATTTTTTGAAAATACTCAAGAAAGGTACCAAAAATTGCCTCAAAATGAAAAAATTGAAAATCCCTGTCTTCAATGTAGACAATAAACATAGCAAACATTAAATTTCACACTTTTTTATTTTAAGCCAAATTTAGGCTACATTTATTGAGTATTTTCCTGAAATGCATAGTAGTAGATTGTAGGAAATTTTATTTTCTTTCGGAATATTACCTTCCACATTGGTCGATTTCCTCACCATTTAAAAGTTATTTGCAAAAACGTCAAGCAACCTCCGAATTTCTAGTGGTGAAAAAAAGTTGGAGATTACTTTTTAACTTTGTACAATTAAATATACAGTTCTGTTGGATCGATTTTGTTAAATAATGTGTCCTTGGAAGGCATAAACTCTTTGAGTTGCTTTTTTATTTGATGCGTATTTTATGGTGGTAAGTTTAATAGTATAAAAGTTATAAAGCGTTAAAACCCAGCTATTCATTTAGAAACACCCGGTATTTTTAATACTGTAGGCCTAATTATGTGTCTATTAGGCATTTCTAGGCTATGTTTGTAAATCCGAACAAATCGGTAATCTGAACTACCTACGGTCCCAATTAGTTCGGGTTTTTGACTCTCTACTGTATATAAAAATATGAAAGGGTCTTTTTATTTCACGATTTTGAATCAACCACTTGATAGATTTTTATGATTTTTGTGTTGAAAAAAAGATAATTTTGAGAATTAGGAAATTTCAAAGCCATAATTTTAGTTTAGGGTGTAAGGTTTTTAGTCTAGGCGCTAACACATTCTAGACTAGCTTTTGGTATAATACCATTTGCTTAATGTAAGAGCTGTAAACAATCAGCATTTGTGATACAAATTCAGCATTCGGATAAAAATGAAATTACCATACGTTAGGTTGACTTATTTATACTATGTGTAATGCCTTAACCATATATTTATAAGTTCATTTATTCAGTAAGATTATGAAATTATTTGAATACACATAGTAAAATACTAAAGTCGGGACCACGTAAGTTTGCAGTTGGTGGCAGCCAATCATAAGACAAGGCTAGTGCAACGTTGCCACATCACACTAATAAAATATACTAAGCATATTATCAAATCAGCTGGTATTATTAGATTTCGCAACACCGCACGGTTCTCATTGGTTCATTCAAACTCATATGGTAAATAGGCTCCTCCCTCAACTGCAAACTTATGTGGTCCCGACTCTAGATGTTCTAATTTCTTTTTTAGAGCAGTCTTTAAAATCTTGGAATTGTTTTAGTGCAATATAATTTGTTTGAACTAACAGGTGTATGAATATAAAAATATGGGGCGATGTCTACTTGTACCGGCGTCTAGTTGTACCTGCTGCATTTTGGTGACAGGTGTCTAGTTGTACCTCGTCCAAAGCTGTAGGTACAACTTGACGATGGTGCGGACGTCTAGTTGTACCTACGCCTAGTTGTCTCTACGTCTAGTTGTACCTCTTAAAAATCTACAGGTACAACTAGTCGGGTACGCCACCGTCTACTTGTACCTCATACGTCTGCGTCTACTTGTACCTACGACTACTTGTATCTACGACTACTTGTACCTACGACTATTTGTACCTACGCCTACTTGTACCTACGTCTAGTTGTACCTACGGCTAGTTTATCTCCCCCTCAACTTGTCACCAGTTTAAGGGATTTATTTTATTTCTTTAAAAATCATACAATCTTACAACAATTTTTTATAAACAAATTGCTACAAAAGCCAGGAAAATTTGGCTTGTCTGCAGCTCATTCTGTTCTTGATAACAATGTACTTGTGTCCCTTGGTCAGTCCTTAACCATATTACACTTTGGTTTTTCCTTATTTCTTGTCAAGATCTGCTATCATTGTTTTTTCCACTTAAACTCTACCTTTCTATAGAAAACTAACATTAACTAGCTTAAACAACAACTTTAAACAATTATCTTAAATAAATAAATTCAGAGTTTACAAAAACAAGTAATTGAGTATAATGAAGTGTTTTTGTATGGTATTAGTCACGGAGAATATTACAACAAGTTCAATAAAAAAATGTATATGTTATTCTTATGGATATTACGTGAACTGGCGTAGTTTGGTTGTTGATGCATATACTTTGACAAATTAGTTTATTTCACACTTAACTACTAACTTTTCTCAAAAACACATCTAAATTACCTTCTACGCAAATGTAATTAAAGCTCAGTATTGAAATACCATTGAAAAAATAACCCAGATATGACTTTTTTTGCGCGCGCTTATTAGTTCTTAGTAAAACTAATCTTGGTTTAGTTGCAGACTACATAGCCAGTGTACACATACCTAGCTCAGTATAAAATGTAGTTTATATAGTTTAAATGTAATGAAGAAATATATAAAAAGAGCAAAATAATATGAATGTAAACAATAATTTACATACAATTGAATTTAACAAGAACATGTATTCAAAGGGGAAAATATACCAAAATAGAAATTAAAATTCAGTTAAGTTTAATCACTACGAGCTGTTGGCCCGTCCTACGTACGGGAGTCGAGCAGTCCATTAACACTATATATAGTTAAGTCTATTTCTAATTCAAGCTTATAGTGTAAGCAGTTAAAAATTTATTGTATAGAAAAAGCTGCCAATATTAATTAAAACTCGTGATCGTTGTTACTTTCCCAACCTTTCCTCAAAAATTCGAGTAGTAAAAGATTTTACTACAGATCGGACGCCAGACAACTAACATTCGATAGAGTTCGTGCTGCTATGGAAAACAGTCCTCGCAGGCCCGCCCGAAAACCAGCGGCTTGCCGAACATGTATGACTGCTCAGTTACACGAATTTTAAGGTAAATTTTCATCCCTACGGATTAATTAGAATAATAAGCTGTTTAATTGTGTTATTCATACAGATAATCACGATGGAACCTCTTCATGTCGACCTAATAAATAAAAGCCCGGAACTGCCACTGAGTTGCAATGACTGATTTACTACTTTTTAAAAACGACTAGATAACAACCGCACGTAGCTCATACAACCATATGATTACAAGAAATGGCATCTTATAGGCTTTCCAACGAGCCTACTCCCACCACCCTCAGACGGTCTGTCGCTGAACAGTGCGATGAAGAAAATATATCGTTTTTTGCCCCACCCTGTACATAACAAAAGACACAAGACTACACAATTTTTAAAAGTGTTGAGGTCGTCCAGTGGTCAAAAACCCGACCAAAAATATAATTGTACAGACTTCTTTAATTTCACCCCACACTGTAAATCAAACATGTGATTGGAATTTCTTCAATTTGTTTTGATTTTCTGATTATGTTTCGTTGTTTTTTCGTCACCAGTTAGTTAAAGACTTTGTTGTGAACTTTATTGAATATGTTTTTACTTCATTGATTTTCCTTTTGATCTGACTGTAATATTTTTCTAAACTACTGTGTTTTGTTTTATCACATGTTAAATATTTTGTATTGAATTAATTTAATTGTTTACCTAACCCGCAATGTTAAACTTCCCTATCCCAAGCATGATGTATACAACTTCTTTACTTCTCGAGTGATGTAAAGTTGAAAAAACTCACTCAGTGAGGTAATGAAACCCATTTAAATAACATTGAGTGCTTAACTTAAAAAATACAACTCTATGGAGCCAACGACGTTCAACGCTAGAAATCAGCTGTACGCTTGAATGTTATTGTTATGCTTTAAAGTATTTTCCAAACCTAGCTTTTGTTTGTAAAAGAACGTTACTGTTAGAAGATGAGTATTTTTCACCAAACTATACAAAACTGAGAAAACATATCAATAATATAGGCAAGCATGTTTCTTTACAACCTTTTTATCAGCTCGTGAACATCACAGAGAAAATATCCGCATATCGGTGGAAATGTATTTTCCTGTCGATCTACAGAATGCCTTTATAAATTCAAATAGGCTAAAAAGACATAAAAAAGAATTACACGTTTTTTAACCCTTAGAGTGCCAGGCGAGAAATAAAAGTAACGCTCAAAAAATGCCGATGATTTTTCCCGAAGGTCGCGCTAAAAATGCCGAGCGCGATCTGGCGATTTTTAGGTTAAAATTTTGTAAAAATCGAATTTTCGATATTTCGACCAACGAAAATCAATGTATTGCATCTAGTAACTTTCGACTCAATGTTAATATATGGGTTAAAAGAATCCGAGTATCCATTCGGTTGTTATGCCAACTGTTCGATCATTACGAAACGTCCGGTCAGCCGGACGTTGGCACTTTTGGCTCGTTCTAAAAACGTCCGGTCGGCCGGACGTCGGCACTTTTGGCTCGTTTTAAAAACGTCCGGTTCCCCGGACGTTGGCACTCGAAGGGTTAAAACTAACATGGGTTTAACGGGTTGCTATGCTGGTGACGAAATAACAACTAATTATGAAAATAAAATCAAAACAACTGGAAAATATTCCAATCACATATATTATTTACAGTGTATGTTAAATAGAGAAGTCTGTACATTGCATAGTTTTTGTCGAGTTTTCAACCGCTGGACCTCAACTTCATTGTACACTTCATTGTTCATTGTTCACTGGGAAATCCATTGTAAACTATAAGAAATGCACACTAATCAATGCAAATACTTTAAGGTTATGTGAAAAAATATTTAAAGGAATCAGCAAAAATAGTAATACATAATTGCTAGGCAGCGGTCTATTGCAATTCATTAAGGATATACTGCTTGTGTATTTAATGATATATATAAATGTTTTAATTAAATAAGCGATTTTCGGTACTAGGGCTGGAAAATTTTAATTACAACTATTGCTGCCATTTCGACCCTGGACAGCAATGCGTAGCTTTCAGCCTCCAATTAACGTTTGTAAAACTACTAAAACATCGTAGTGCGGTGAAAAATATTTGCCAATCATACTCAAATGACTCGGAACACTGCAGTTCCTGATTTAATTAAGGGTATTATTTAAAAGTACTCGTGCAGTAATCAATTAAAAAGGGTAACGAATTTAAGGATAGATACAACTAGACTATAAGGACGCAAAATACGCGTAGGTACAACTAGTCGTAGGTACAACTAGACGTAGGGACTACTAGACGGAGGGACCACTAGTCGTAGGGACTACTAGTCGTAGGGACAACTGGTCGCATCCGTACAAGCTAGGTGATACTACTTGTCGGTGGGATACACGTCTAGTTGTACCTACGTCTACTTGTACCTACGTCTAGTTGTACCTCCTAAAAATCTGCAGGTACAACTAGTCGGGTGTGCCACCGTCTACTTGTACCTACGTCTAGTTGTACCTACGACTAGTTGTCGCTAGGCCTCGAGGTACAATTAGACGTAGGTACAACTAGTCGGCGGGACAACGAGACGGGGTCCCAAAAATATTCTATAGAACTATGAGGTTATTTTATTTAATCTATGATTTTGCCATTGATTATAGTAAATAAGTAAGATTGATAGAGATAAGTAAGACCATTGCTGTATACAAATGGAAGCTCTGCCCACGCGTTTTCATAACTATCTCGTTCTATCTATATCTTTGACTCCCCACATTAAGTGTTCCCCAAAAGTGTGCACACTTCCCTCATCTCTACAAATTGGCTACCCTCTTCCCAAGACGTCGTCATCCGCTATCCACCCACGGCTTCCACCCACGCCTCTACTCTCTAGTGTTTCTTGGTCCAGGATCCATAGGACTGGTTTCATTACCCTTGGATTATTGGTGAGTCATATATTACCCTCTTTTTTTCGCCCCAGTTTCCGCAATGCAGTTAATAATTTTTGTTTGGATTTTTCAGTACCGAGTTCTGGGCGGAAGCCAAACTGTGAAGTATTTATTAAATTATTGCTTTCTAAATATTCTGTTAGTTGAATCTTTACAATTTTTTCAAAAATCTGTGAAAAACAAGGCATAAGGGCGATGGGGCGGTAGTTAGAGGGATCGTTGACATCGCCCTCTTTGAACAGAGGTTTAATCTCAGCCAACTTTAGCTTATCAGGAAAACCCCCCCCCCCTCAAGGGACTGATTCACTATTTGGCATAATGGATGTTCTATAAATTTAAAAACTCTTTTAATGACAAAAAGAGGAGTTTCATCCCAACCTGAGGACTTAGTGTTACTGAGAGATGTAACAACTTTTCTTAACTCGTCAATTGAAACATTTCTTAATTTGAATGTTAATTTGGGACGTGGATGATTTTCGATTAGTAACTGAGTGGATTTTAATTTATCTGTTGATTGGTTGGCATACTGAGAAACATTAATAAAAAAATCATTGAATTTATTTGCTACCGATACTGCACAATTTTGTCCATTCCTTTCATGTTTGCATTTAATCTCAACTGGAGTATCAGATATTTGTTTATTAAGTCCTGTTTCATTTTTCAGTACTACCCAAGATGCTTTACTTTTATTCTTTGATTTTTTAATAAAGTCCTCATTAGCTTTCAGTTTTGCTAATGTAACTACTTTTTTAAAGACCTTTCTGTAGTTTTTGAAATAGATTAAAAACTGAGGGTTTCGATTCCATTTTGATTCTTGGTGCAACTTATTTTTATTTTCTGCTGAAATTTTTATTACTGTTGTTATCCATTTATTTTTGTTTATTCTTTGGACAATCTACTGTTTTGGGGAATGCCTCGTTGAATGAATTTAGAAAGTCTGTAAGAAATTTATTGTAATTTGTATCTACATTAAAGGTTTCAAAAGGGTTCCAACTAACATTGTGTAGTGTGTTTTCAAAAGTTTGAAAATTTGTTTCTGCAAACTTCCGAGTAAGTTTTTTGTTTACACCCTTAAGTCTTGGAGAGGACATTTTCTCAAATGACAAAAGTAAAACTTTGTGGTCTGATGCACCTATGTTTAAACTAAACTGCTAGAATTTTTTGTCTGCAAGTTAGAAATACTATTGTCAATACAAGTACAGTCCAACCTCAGTATAACGAATCTGAAGGGACCGAACTGAATATTCGTTATATCAAGGATTTCGTTAAAACGAGGTTCGTTATATAGAGGTTAGTTTGCAGGAATTTCGCTAAGTCGAGGTTCAGAACCAGCGTCGGTCAATATAGGTCGGGATTAGACATCATTAAAACACAATTAAAGTAGCATAGGCTACAATACTTTACAGTACAGTGTTTACATTGTACAGTAGAACCTAAATTATCCGGCATAAAAAAGGGGAGGGATCTTGAATATTGCGCAATCATGAAAATGGCATTGACCTTGGTACAGGTTAAAAAACTGTAAGTTTAAAATCACAGCTTGTTCTAACCCTCCTAAAACCTAGCCAAACACTGTATTGCGTAGTCATAAACCATGTAAAGAACAAAACAGTAGTAGAAAGTTTTGTAAGCTACTGCTCGTGATAGGCCGGTAGGCTACTTACAGTACATTACTGATTTATCACAACAGAGGAATGTCAATAATAATCATTAACTATAGCATTGGTGTTGCTAGTTGAAACAAATCGTATTGAAAACAATAAATTATTAGATAAGTCATTATAAAAGTGTATAATCATAGCCAACTCAAAGATAATAAAAACACTCGAAAAAGGAATGTTAAAATAACGATGTTGCTATTCTTTCTCTTTGGTTTTTTTTTTTTTTATTCTTTCTTAGGTTTCTCTTTATCCAAAAATTGTACAATTCACCATAGTTACTTATCGCCCAATCACAGCTTACTTAACATTACGTCGTCATCAGTCCTCAGTGAATGAAATCAGTTCTCAGTTGCAACATAGCGCGTGCAGCGACAGCAGACAGAGATGTGTAAAACGGAGCAGACGAATGTTAGCACAAGCGATGACGCCACCTTTCCATTTCATTTGATAAAGAAACAATTTTTTCAAAAACAATAATGGGGTGGGGGATTTGTTATATCGAGGGAAAGACGTAGACAATTTGTTATGCAGAGGTTAAATTCGCAATGTAGAGGTTCTGACAATAATAAATTCGCTATATTGAGGTGTCTTATTTTAGCCGAAATCATGAAAAATTTGTTAAATCAATGTCGTTGTTATGGTTTGTTCGTTATGTAGAGGTAAAATATACATTGTGTCTTATGGAGAGTTCTAGGGGATTTAAAAAATTCGTTATTTCAAGGAATTCGTTGTGTCGAGGTTCGTTATATCAAGGTTAGACTGTACTTGAAATGCTGGTTAGGCCTACCCTAGTTGAAAAAAAACATTAGGATTGAATCCAAAACAATCACAAATTTATAGTAAATTATCAGTACTTACTTTATCGGTTAATAAATCTATATTTGTGTCTGACATTATAAAAACATTTTTTGTCATTGATTCCAAAGCTATTTTGTCTAATAACATTTCAAACTTTTCTAAAAATATCTTATGTGTATGTCACACTACCTGGAATCCTGTATAAACTGAAATACAAACTGAATTCCAGTCCTTGTCTTCAATAAAAGATCCTTCAAAACAACATTGGCCATTTGAAAATTGTAAATTATTTATAATTTTAAAACCAACATTTTTGTCAATCATTAAACATGAACCCCCCTACATTGGTCTATTCTAGCATAGTAGTCAGCAATTATAAAACCATCTAGTTTATTTAAAACATTTATACTTTTATCAACAAGCCAATGTTCATTTATAGATATAACATTAATTTTGCAATACATATGTTCAATGAACAGACTAAGGTCTACATAGTTATTTAGAAAATGTTAGTGGAATGTCTGTTGAAATCATGGTATTTTCAATCAATCCCCAGGAAGAGGATCTCTATGTACTGTAGTCAATAATGACAACAATTTGTATAGACTACTAAAGAGTCCAGCCTACCTGACACAGTTAACACAGTCAAAATGAGCTTCATCAACAGTATGTATCAACTTTCTTGACAAAGGGTCAAACATCAAGATGCTCCGTTTCTCACAGGCAGCCACCAATAATGATCTGCAAACAAATATACTGCATAATATTTGTAAATATTTTAATGATGATGATAATAATAATAATCATAATAAAACGTCTTTTATTTGGTTTTCAGTAACAATACTGATTTTCAAGACTACTCAAGTCAATACAAAAGAAATATTACAATTTACAATAATTGAGTTATTACTAACTATACCTTAACTTACATTACCTTAACTATAACTTACAAAAGACATTTTTTTGATTTCAGTCTAAAAGCTTTATGACTAAGTTTTTTTTTACTTTTCTTGGTTGATTTGATTGTATTTCTGAGGAGCAAAAAAAGAAAAGCCTTTTTTTCCGTGTTCTAACTGGAAACGAGGCAAGTGCAGCAAGACATCCTGTCTTGTACTCCTCTCTCTTACATCTCTCCTAGTTTTCAACTTATCTTTCAGATAAGTAGGTCTGCTAGTGTTGGTGACCCTGTGAACAATAGCCACAGTATCTAACAAACATTCTGTCTGCAGAGACAAAATCCCACTTTGCTTTCTAAAGGAAGATATGTGGTCAAATTTTCTCAACTGATACACAAATCTTAAGGCATTGTTTTGCAAACGATTGATCAAATTAGTATGTTCAACTGACAGGCTGAAACCAAAGGTAGGCAAAGCATAATTAATGACAGGCATTACCAAAGCCTTCCCTATTTGTAGTTTTACTGTCTGTACGTATTTTTTTAAATCTATTCAACACAAATTCATGACCTTTTGAACTATTGATTTTACTTGTTTTAAAAATTTCAAGTCCACGTCAATTGTGAGATCAAGAACTTTTATTGTCTCAGTAGCCTTCAAATGTTGTGTAAGTTACTGGTACCACATTTATAAACAATTAATTGTACTTCTTACAATTTAACAATAGTCCATCGATATATCATCAAGAGTAGGCTACACTATATAACTAAATAAACAGTACATAGCTTTTGAAGGTACTATAAGAACAAAATGCTATCTATATCTATATAAATAAAATTACAGTTTTGTCTGTACATTGCTTAGAATCATGCGGTTTTTGGTTATTTTTACGTTTCATAGCCTAAGAAAGCCGAAACGAGTCTTATCTCAATTTCTGTCTGTATGTCTGTTTGTTTGTCCATTCTGTGACTCTGTCTGTAACGCCAACATGTCATTTTACGCGGCCTACTCCTAGAAAATTAGAGTACCGATCAAGGTTTTAATCATTTTTCTGTATTTACTGGATTGGTGAGAGTGTCTTTGGCTATAAAAACATGGCCTCGCTTCTTCGAAAACAAAATAACGAACCACCAAAAACCCAATGTTTACAATTACATTACATTTTATGAAATACCGATCAGCTGTTTGGATTAGTTCTCACTTCTAGCTGTCACCGATATGTTTACATTAAAAGTTGTTTACAAATAATACCGCAACCATTTCCGATCAAGTTTTGTCAGCACATCCAAACTAAGTGAGATTAAAAACGTTGTGCCTTACTTAACCGGTTTAATTAATCGCAAGTGCAACGATTGTTCTTGAGTTTTGATAACCAGGGAAAATACCGTGATTCAGTGTTGTATTAGTGCAAAGAAACTTACATTTTTTTAATCATAGTCACCAATACCGTAGCTTACAAAGGTTTCCACTCATTGACGGTGCTTCAAGGACAGTTGTGTAAAGTGCAAAGTAAAAAATCACAACTGCAGTGGGTGATCGTGGATGTTGCTGCGATCTTGGAAGACTTTCTGATTTCGCTGTGATCGTACCGTAACAGAGAACTAAACTCGCTTTTCCAATGTGTCACTTTTGGTTTCTACTTACTTACATTTCGACAACGATATCGGTACTTTTCCTACTTAGGAAATAAAACTACAAACGTACAAAACCCCAGATTTGTGCGTTTTTTGTCACATTTCCTCCAAATGTTTGCTAGATATATGTACCGATTATCGTTTAGAGATTACGTAATCTTTTAAATAAGAAACCTTTGTTTGGATAAAGGTGGTTTCTTCAAACTGTCATTAATATGTTACCTAACATTAAAAGCTGCTTACAAATAATGCTATTAATAGGAAATAACTTTAATTTTTGAAAACTAAAAAAAATGAAAACCAAAGGAGATTTTATCGTTAATAACATCATCAATCGTTAATAACTTTGGTACCGGTACTGCACCACATCAAGTGAAAGTTTTTTTTGGTACTTTCCTGTTAAAGGGAACATTCATTATTATCGATGATTATTCTATCGATATATCGATATTAACAAATTGAAACATATCGAAAAATATTGTTCAGTATCAACAAACATTAATGAAATGAAACTGTTCTAAAACAAATAACCTAACATAACTAACCAAACTTGCTGTAACATTTAAAAATTCCGTGTTTATAACTTGCCTTTTATATTCAAACCCAAACGAATTTTTTTTTTAATGGTACAGCAAGTTTGGTTGGTTATGTTAGGTTAGCTTAAAACAGTTTCATTTCTTAATCCATATAACAGACAATTTTAGCCTAAACAAGATCAGTTAGTTGTTGTCAATTTGTAATGGGTCGGAAAACAAAAACATCGATATATCGAGAAAAAAATCATCGATAATAATGAATGTTCCCTTTAACAAGAAAGTACCGTTTTTTTTAGCAAACCATAGTGAGTTTTCAAAGCTTTACGTTGTTTACGTTACATGTTACATGTTTTGTGGCCTGTGTATTTATTTATTTATATATTTGCCAACTGATTAACACCTATAATACAGTTTGAATAGAAGGACAGTTTGAATTAGTCGTAAGTACTACAGTTCTTTTCTCAAATGTAAACGTTGGTTTTTGGTACCGGTACTGCTACTTTTCCTTAGAACTGGTGGTAGCAGTAAGAATAATTTTTACATACAAACACATCACTATTAATTTATAAACACTGTACCTTATTGCTTATTAAATTTAATTGATGTCTTACTGTATAATTTTTTGCCTTTACTGTCTGGACTCCAAAATGTTGTGTGGACTCTATTCTGTATTTGTGTGTGTATGTCTATTGGTAATGCATTAATGTCATTTTTCGTGGAAAAGACAAGAGCACCATTGTTAATAAAAATTTCAACCCGAAGAAAGTGTGCAGTAGTGAGGTTGAGGTAGTTTTTTAACTACTTTTAACCAGTGTGAAAAGTAACTTTCCATTACAGGCCTACCTTAGGGCTATGCCTCATAGATCTATACTGTAAAGCAATTCCTTTCATCGTTAGATATAAAATATGGACTAACACGATCGGGTGACATTTAATTGCGAAGCATTTGTTTTGGCTTTGAAATTGTCAGATATTGTATTTGAGAAGGTTTATATGTATTCCTAAACAGTTATAGTTTTGCCATCATATCTGGAAAAATGCACACTAAATATGCAAACCAACTCCTGTTCTGAATATAAGGTTTTAACTTACTACAAGATTCCCGTACGTAGAACGGGCAAACAGCTAGTAATTAATACGGCAACACAAAATTTGTTGGTTGAACTCCTCCGCCATTTCTTAACCAATTTCATCCATTGACGTCTCATTGGAAAGAGCGTCGCGTAGATTTGCAAACTGACCTTCATTTTTGAAAAAGTCCCTTGGGCTCTGCCCCAGTGGCTTTTAAAGTTCCCATGCTATCCTTATGAAGAGCATAATTGTTTACATTTTGATCAGCTGTATAATTTAATTGCTGTTATTCATTTTTCAATTCAACAAAACGCATTGGGTACATTTACTGATTTTGTTGAAATGAAATATTTACTATTTTAATTTGCATTCGTACACAGGTACTACAATGTAAAAAATCGAGAAAGCCAGAGCAGTTAGATATATTTTACCAAATAAGAAAATTGAATTGACAGGGTACTGTATTTCTTGAGAAATCATTGAAAGAACCGATTTGTTAACCATGGAAACGTAGGAAAGTCATAGAACGCCACCAAGTAAAAGAAATAGAGATAAAAAAAAAAAATTTACTATCATTTTATCCTATATAATGAAGAACACCAACAATATGAAGATTCCCACAAACAATAAACAAGGAGGTTAGCCGTAGTGCTACTATTTCGTAGGAAAAACGGACCTAACTTTATGATGATTGGCAAAGGAAAACGCTCTAAGGCTGATTGAAACTGGTATGGCAAGGACATTAAATAGGTCTATATGTTTTGATAAAAATCAAGTGATTTTAGCGAATTTCCCATATAGGGAATAAACTATTACTGTAGGTCTCATGGTAAGACCTAGACCTGGGACCGATTTACTTTTCGTTTTGAGGTCCCCAGAGGCTAAAAACACCATCCGTTCAAATACATATATATATATATATATATATGTGTCAGTTGGCGCGATAACTCGAGCAAAAATGATCCGATTTTGATGAAATTTGGTACAAACGTGTAAACCAACGTTTATTCGAACGAGTTTGCGAACCAGCATAGTCGGACCATGGGAACAGGGGTTTATGGGGGGTTTTATGGGGTAAAAATGGATTTTTGACCCTAAAAACAAAAAATTTTGCAATTTCTTTCTAAACCATTTTGTAGGGCTTAAAAAAAGAAATAATTTATTATACTGAAGCGCTGTTGTATGCCTAACGATCACGGAGAAAAAAAAGTGTAATTTAATATTCCCATGTTATTCTTATGGAGAAAATTAAAACTGTTGTAGTTTACTTGTTTATGGATATTTGTTAATAACGTTTGACAAATTTATTTATTTCATCCTATACTATTGATGTATGGTCAAAAAACACTTTTTACCTTCCCCGTAGCAGCAAACCTAAGAACTCGTGAAATTTAATGTTATCTAAATTGGGAATAAATATGTCTTATTTATGGAAATATTTTAATAAAAATGTAATCAGACAAGTTGAAATTCGCTTAGTCTGCAGGTTTGCTGCGGCGGGGGTATTAAAATAATATGAATACATCCAAGAAACCTTAATAAAACTTTCATTGAAGGATTCACATTATTCACGTTATTATTCACAAACAAAATACCATCTGAAC